TATTATTATTATTATTATTATTATTATTATTATTATTATTATTATTATTATTATTATTATTATTATTATTATTTAAAAACAAATATACTAAATTTAATTTATAAACATACTAAATATAATATATATAAATTTTAAAATTTATTAAAAAATTATATTATTTATTTTCTATATATTTTGAATTTTTTATATTATATTTTAATCTTGTAAATTGATTTATTATTTATAAATAATTAGATAATCAGAAAATCTTATTTATATTCTGGCTCTTTCTTAATTTTTATATATATGTAATTAAAAAATTAATAAGATAATATCATAATTTACTTTATTATTTATTATATATAATATTATATTTTTGATTTATTTCTAAAAGATTTGATCAATATATATAAGATAATAATATGAATTTATCAAGAAGTAATTAAAAATCCTGAAGAAAGAATCATGAAAGAAAAATGAAATTAAAATCACTATAAACTTATGGTTCAAGAAAATCATAAAAAAATTTGGTGCATTTTTATTAATTTTCATAACTTATAAAAGCAAATAATTATAAATATTTAACATTGCTTTCAAAGATTTCTTATTTTTAAAATTATAATTAAATTAACTTATTTTATCTTAATAATAGCAACAGCAAAAAATAAATAAAAATAATCATCCTCTTAATCCAGCTCTTGCCCAGACATCATAAGCCTTTTCATAATCAAATTTATCGTATGAAGGACCATTAAGAGCGATCATCATATAAGCATGAAGCAACTCTGGTTCCATATGCCCAACATGCTGCACCGCAATTCGTTTTTGTCGCGACAAAAGATCCTCTACATGCGCATTCGAATATGGTACAGTCAATGCGATACTAATAATCTTTACGATGTTTGGGAACTCTTGAACGAATTCTACTGTTTCAAATGTTTTTTTCCATGCTTCGGTGAACGGTAATTCTTTGAACCCGGACAACAGGTATTTTGCTTGACTCCATTCTTTGATTAATGCTTGTGAATCAATGACAGGTGGAAAAATTATCCCGCTTTCGAAATTCGGGTTCCCGTATATTCTGTTTAACATGTCTATTTCTTCTTTTCCGTATGGGCCAATTGCGCGACGCTCGTTTGGCAAAAACCTTGGATCGAATATGCGCATGTTATTGTAGACATCTAACATTGGGAATCGCTCGTTTAACGCGTTGATTGTCGCGGTGGCGAATTGCGGAATGAACTTCGGGAGAGTAACACCAGAAGTCAATGTTTTCTCGACAAATTGACGAAGCATTGACCCGTAGTGTGGGCGATCTTCCGAGTTGCCAATAAACTCTACATATATTTTTGTGGTTGCTTGATTGACTAATGGATAAAGATCAGCAACAGAAATCGGATCACCTTGAAAGAAAATCACGAGATTCTGAAGAATATTGTAAATATCGGCAAGTAATTTTGTTGCTATTGTGAAATTCTGGTCAATTTTGTTACACAGAGTCGTTGCATTTTCTGCATGACTTAGTGATAGTGCGATTCTGATTTCATCCAAGATCTGTGAATTCACTGCAATTTCTTGACACCATGATAGAAATCTGGCTGCATCAATGTTATATAAGCTGTTGGTTATTCCTTCACCGATTGGTTTTAGACTTGATGGCGGATCAGAGATAACCGAAAAGTAATCAAGTATTTCATTCATTATTGTTTGGTATTGTACGAAATATAGCACCATATCTGCGGCTTCTTTCATTGATGAATGAATGCTCTGGCCAACAGTGTGAATTGAAGAAAGAAAAGGTTGTTTTGATTTCAAATGTGAGACTATTCCATTTGATCTATCTATTTTACAAATTATTATGTTATTGTTGTTGGCATTCAATCATGTTTTCAAGTAAAGTAATGGGTTAATAAATAAAATACTTGCCAAGAATTGCAGTATCAGCATTACTACCAACATGAGCGAGTTTTGCCATCGAGATTCGCTTCGAAGTACAAAATACTTCCAAATGATTCGAAGCAGTAAATGGATCTGTGACGGTGAATCCTAGTATCCCCAGATAACGAATTCCAGGACTATGATCTGCCGATAAATGCTTTGAATACACAGAAATTGATTTACTGCCAGATTGATAAGTCACGTGATCAAGAAGTAAACTCCAACAAGGAGATTCAGATAATTCTGACAAAACGGCGTCTTCGATGACTCGAGACATTGCTTGAACTATATCGATGACTGAAACAGGATTGACATATGTTGCTTCGTTAGCAGATAATGGAGTTGACAAAGTTGAGGTTGACGTCATCGTGTGATGATGATGATGATGATGATGATGATGATAATGATTTATAACGTTTGTTGAACCACCACTGTTACTGTGGTTTGCACTAATTTTCGTCTTCGTATTAGATGTTGTAGTATTATTCGATGTTGTAATGATTTTTCGTGAATTTAAAAGAAACGGATTTATTGAAATTGGTGGGGCATCAAGTGTAATTCCCGTCTGATTCTGAAATTGAAAGGTGATGAAATTACACATTTCCTGATAACCATCCAACGACATATTCTGTTTAATCATAAAATACGCAATGCGCATATTCTCAATAACTTTAGCTTTTCCTAACCCGTAAAACTGCGTAAACCGAACCGGCGACGGGTTATCAACAGTCGAAGCATTTGCTGTGGTTCGCCCTTTGACAATATTTACATGTTCTTTGACTTTTTGGTGTCGAACAAGTGAATCTTCTTTTATCCATTCGCATCCTTCCGTCGCGAACTTATTATTACAATTGGCAGCGCGACACCAACTACAGAAAATGCGTTCTTTGTTGTCGACTGTTTCGTGAACTACCCACGGATATCGTTTTTTCCATATTGGATTGAATCGGAGACTTTCTTTGGTTAGTCTTCGAGCTCTTTTTTGCGGGGTGGTTGTTGTTTCTCCGGTTGCCGCAGTATGGGTTGTATTGCCATTATTATTGCTATTATTATTAGTAGTAGTTGTTAGTTCATTATAGTTTCTTAAAAGTTGATTATTATTTGAGGATGTTTCGCCGGTATCTCCATTTTCAACAGATGACCACGAAGTTACACCGATAGCATCATTATTTTTATTATTATTATTAATATTGTTGATATTATTGTTGTCTTGACTTTCAATTTCCATCATAACTATTAAATTTTTTGCTAGTAAATATTCGTTAATAATAATAAAAAATCATAATAAATGATCTTAAGTTTTGATTTTTAGGGTTAGGAGAGAACGTATACTATACTCTTCCACTTTCCTAGTATTCTCGAACTATTAAAATAGCGGTCGTGTCGTCCTTACGGTCGTTTTGTGAAATAGAAAAAATTGTTGGTGTGCTGCTACTGCTGCAAACAATTGCGCACTATGTGCACAGGATAGAAGGTTTGGTCACACTTTATTGCATGATTGGTGATGCCTCGACGTATTGATCAGGCATCATAAACCTAGTCCTACATACAACTCAGATCGATTGGTAGATCATCCACAGATCACTACGTGTGGTCATGTGACATAATTAATAAATTTCCCTTTTCTGGTCATCTCAGGAGAAAATATTAGTAAGCCATCTATTAGAATCCACTACCGTTGCTTCATCACCATTTCAATTATAAAAAAGGCAACTTAAATAGTCAATATTATCGCGAGCGCATCTTGACGTGCGCAAGATTACATTACATAATCACAAATAGAATTGAAAATATCGATTCCCATAAATTTATTAAAGACTTACACACGAGCTTTGTTAAATACGATAAATACGAAGAAGAAAAGAAAATCAAAAAGGAAAAATAGAAAATTCGGGTTAGATACAAATGACGAAACCATACAAAATGAAAGGAATGTTTATGACCATAATTTTTGTTTAGGCATAAATATAGATATATATAGAGAGAGAGAGAGAGTATATATTGATTATAACGAAAAAAACAAGAAAAAACAATTCTGAACTGATTATTTGGTGATTGTTGCTTGGACGGGCGGAACCATCTTAATTATATTCCTTGCCACGTGAAAAAACGCGTCACTATTAACAGGAATTTTAAAAAAAACGCGAGACTGAGTGAGTGAGTGAGATCATAATAATAATATATCGCAAGTCTAGTTTATGTACGCGAGTGACATTTAACGTTAACATGGTTATCGTTATGTAATGACTATTACCGTTATCGCTATTCTTCCTGATCAACAGAAAATTTCCATGATTTATTATTGTAGAAATTAGTGAAATTAATGAAATTAATGAAATTAATGAAATTAATGAGATCGATGAAATTGAGGTAGGAATTGAATAAATACATAATGAACTTTGTTTATATAATAAATGTTTTTGTAAAAAAGAGTTCGCTTAAACCAAGAATTTAGGATGGAAAGGGAACGATCAGATATAACATTCACGCGTATGGACGAGAATGTGGTTGTAGATGCGTAAAATATAAAATATTAAATTATGATGCCACTTTTTTTAAGATTTATTTTGTGATGAGGAAAATAGGGGAAAGAAAATAAAAAAGTGAATAGAGTAAAACTTACAAACAGTAGTGGTAGTACGCGCGAGTAGAATGAAAGAAAACGAAAAGAAAAAATGGTGGATGCTATAATTTTCTCTGCCAAAAAGAATTATATTATTGTAGGTCTAAAATCGCAGTTTATAGAATTTTGTATATATATGAAAAATTTAGGATAAAAAGATTGAACGAATAAAGTTTTATTAAGTGAGGGTCAGTGTTGAATGTGGTCTCTTTTCTTGCCTCGATTTTTTTTCGCCGTGTGATCGGATGAACAAAAAAATGGAAGAGGGATTCATAAAGAATTTGAGTGATCGTAGTTTTTTTTTTTTTTTTTTTTTTTACGTTGTCGTTATTCATAAAATCTAGTTGCCTTGAAAAGAGACTCGGCTTTTTTCTTTGGCATTTCGACGTTCCCTTGCAATCAATTCACGTGCCGTAGCCCGAAGAGCACTGATTGAATTTTTTCTGCTATGATCATTATCTAATTTATTATCATCGTTTACAATATCATTCTTTTGATCTGTATTAATGCCGCCTATTATCGATGGCTTTTTGCTGAGGTCGCAATGAGCCGTCGAACCTTGATTTCTCGGCGGAATCGAATTCCCGGAAGAACAATGTGCATTATAAGTCGGTATTATGCTTCCAGTGGTAACAGCAGTTGAAGACTTAAAAAATTCCGGGATCGAGAGTCCAAATTCTGTCATAACAAAAACGGTCAACGCGGAGCTAAACAATTCCGCGTACACGTAACTAGGGACGTTGCTCGTAAGGTAAAACATTCGGTAGATGCTCATCGCTAGCAAGATGCTCAGATCCAATGTGAAGAGGATTGTTTGGTAAGTGCGATAACGTAAAATGGTATTATCTGAAGCTTCGGATGAATGAATATTTTTCAATGTGCTAAATAGTTTAATGTAGAATATTCCCTCGGACAAAATATAGTAAAAACGAAATACTGGCGCTAATCCATCTCGTATTTGGTAGATTACATATTCCTTTTGACAAATTCCTGTGTATTCTCCTCCACATACAAAATTGCTATGAAGATTAATAATCACAATCACAAGTAATTCTACCACACGAACAATAATTATAAAGAAGTGTAAATGTCTGTATTTTCGATACGGTTCGTAAACGGCTCTACACCGTAAATATCTAATTATAAAGGCAAAATAGATCAGAAAAACAAAAAACCTCAATGAAAATACAGTCACTAAAAAAAGATTACTCACGCCAGGTATAAAACTATTGGCTTAGTAATTAAATAAGTGGCATTATTTACAAAACCGGACCATATTCCCCAATTATTACTCAATGAATCCGCGCTCGAGAAAATCATCACCATCATAGCAAACTCATTTAGAAGCGTCGAAAAATTGACAATCGGAAAAAGAAACATTTTCGAGCCACTTGTTCGTAGTGCTGCCATTTTTAACGAGGAGTTACCAGTCAACGTGAGGCTCGCACCAACTAGAACTGCGCCAATGAAATTTTCGAGATTATCACCATTATTCGAATTTAAGCTTCTATCGGACATTTTGCTTTTTCGTGACTATGGTTTCCTACAGAATAAATATAAATATCCGTGCGCGCGCGTGTGTGTATATATATATGTGTGTGTGTGTGTTTGTGTGGATATGGATATATATGTTTGCGATTGTCTTTATTCTGGGGAGGTTTTTGCTTTGGTTATTGTATGTGAATTTGGTACGCAGGATGAATTTAGAGCCGAAAATTCTTAATTTTTTTTGGAATAAAAAATCACGAAGAATGATGTAAAAAATGAGGGTGTCGCGAATCAATAAGGAAGAGGCAAGAAAGGTAATATAAAATGAGTGTAATAATGGCGATGACGAATGCAAAAAGCAATCTCGTCTATCGAGAATTATTTTACGTTCATATTCGCACAGAACACGTAACTTTTCTTATATATTATTATTATTAGCAAAAAAACTATTAGTTATTTTAATAATATGCTCATAATATATTTAAGTATAATAGTCTATTTATAAGCTACGTGTAAATAAATGTGAGAGTACATTTTTTCACGTCTTCATGAATTCATAAAGATGCAAAGCACGTAATACCTTTTTTTTGTCAATGAAAAGAGAAAATAATCTGATCTGTCCCACAAACGTAATATGCAATGAGAATGAGGTGCTCGTTATATATAGTAACGATCGTTAATTATTTATTTGATCGTATTTTTTTAATTTCGAAATCTAAAATTTGTCACCAAACGCCCAACAAAAAAGCATGCTATACAATAAAATACAAATAATCACAAAAAACCAAAAATTCATTGTATTATTATAATTATTGTCTAATAATTATCAATTATTGTTTAGTAAAACGGAAAATTATTTATTTTAACGTTACGTTAAGAAAACGAAAGACAGTGTATGCATTCAAAACATCTAGACCCTTACTTTTTGCATGAATTTATTTAGGATTTCAATTTTACGTACATGTACAAGAAAGTGTCACACCATCACCAAAAATCGCGCGCGTTTGCATTAGTCGCTCGTTTCTTGTTTTAGTGGTGTAATATTAATTATTAATTCAAAACATTCTTAGTGGATCTCGCTACAAACGAGACAAAATTTCGAGGGGAATTCCGAGATAAAGGCAAATAGATTATACCTTCTATTGAGTCACATCAAACCTTTAAAGATGAGTACGTAATACGTACGCATTTTTCTTATTAGGAAAGTAAATAAAATAAAATTTAATCCGTAGCTACTGTTACAATAGATTTAATCAAAAATAACGGAATCTCCTAATTAAGAGGCATTGAAGTCTTTAATATATGCAAACTTATTTCAATTATAGGTGTCACGCATCATAGACAAAGGTGTTGAGGACTTTTGCTAACAACATATCACAAGATCTTAACAATACATAATCAAACTCATCTCGTGACTTTTCCAATTTCACTTTATTTTTGGACATTATATTATGTAATATTTATTTGTTTGTTTGTTATTTCATAGAAAAAAATTTTTTCCGTTGTGTGTCATGCTTAAAAAAATCTTAAATTTCAGGCTTAGCTTATGACGGCCGTTGATAGATATATATATATATATATACAGTATATATATATATATTGCTAAATATGTGGCAGACTTGTGAATAAGAAAGCATATTTCAAAGTAAAAGGAAAAAAGAATAATTCATTCTGATTAAAAGAAAGGGATTTTTTTGATTATATTTTACAGAAAATTATTAAGAATACATAGTAGTAGTGGTTTATATACAAAAAAAATAGGTTAATTAATTCTCACGAGGGAAATTTTAATCAATATTCGATATCGAAATTGATTAATGAAAATCTCTCATTATTAGAAACTCGATTTTTTATCACTGCTTTTGGTGGCGATTCAATGCTATCATTATACTCACTACCGGAAGCATAATCTTCTGTATGTTTAACGATAAAAAAGGAATTTTGTGGTGTCGTACTACCGGTATAATTATAAGATCGCCCACCCAATAGAAATAAATTATTATTATTATTGCTAGTATTATAATCGTCAGGCGAACCTAAAGTAGCTAATTTTTGACGCAACTTGCAAGTTCTGATATCAGATAACTGAAAATGTTCTGTTGTGGTTCTATTGATTTTGTCATCTTTAGAATCTGGCGGTGACGTGAAATGGAAAAACGACGGCGATGTTTGAAGATCGGGAACAATTTCACCATCATGTGGTGACCCACGAAACACGCGCGGTATCGTAACACCCAATTGTGACATATTATAGACGGTGAATGCGAAACTAAAGCATTCAAGATAAACAGAAATGAGATCTTCATCTTGAAAAATAGTAAGCCCGCGATAAATACTCAATGCAAACAACTGAACAATATCAGTGAAGAAGAGAAACGCCTGAAAACGAGTATATCGAACAATTTTCATTTCATGCCTTTTATTGATTCCTTTTAACATACGCGCTAAACTAGAGAAAAAAATTACTTCCGCTACGATATAATAGCATTTCCAGATGGGTGTGAATGCTGTATCCACTTTTCGCAAGGTTTTTAGCAGATAACATCTTTCCGAGTTTCCGATGTCATTACATTGACTTCGATATAACATTAGATCCACTATCATCATCACCACTAATGAGATCCCACGACAAATGCAAACAGATAAATGTAACCACTCGTGTTTTTCATACTTTTTGTAGACATATGCGGCTCTCAAGTATGCGAGATAAAGCATAGCAGGTTTTCCGATGAAATATGTGAAATTTGACAAAAAAGAGAGCCATGGTCGTGATGAGATGCCGATTAATCCTTCATTTGCGTAATTTACTCCGATGATAACGAATTCATTAACGAGTGAACATATATTGGCTATGTTTAATAAGGGAATATCGTGTCCATTTGTTTTTAGAATCTTTAAGCGAAGGTATGAATGTGAAGTAAGTGATAATGCCACCCCTATCAATACTGTTCCTATAAGATTTATGAGGACATTGTGGTAGTTGCTGTTGTAACCCTCCATTTACTATTATTCGTTTAATGATTGTTGCTGTTGCTTCTTAGTAATGTTTCGGGCTTGCTTAAGTTTAAATTTAAAAGAGCGAAAATGATGATAATTTTTACGAGGTGTAGCTAGTTTATGATTTCTGCATTAAGGGTTCGAATTTAATTGGAGGGAATTATTTTCCCAGGACGAAGAACGAGGATTACAAATGATGAGATAAGATTAGCTCATAGAGCGCACGGAGGAATGGTAAACATTTAACAAACAAAAAAATGTCAAGCAATCGATTTTATTTATTGAATGTTACATATTCAATTATATAGTTATACATATGCTATTAAACTTTTGTGAGAGCACATAATCATATGTCGCAATTGTGTTGCAATATGCCGCAATTAATGAGGCGTCATCTTAATGCAGTTGCATTATTAATATTTGTATCTGCACACAATAAATAAAAGATAAACAGATCTTGTTAACTTTAAATAACAAGTAGTTATAAATATAATGATCCGAATGCAATGCAACTTTCGCGGAATTCCTTTTTCATGACATTATGATGATTGAAACAATAAGGCAGTTTAGTATATGTTATAGAATGATCAAATCTTGCTACTTTTTATGTATATGCTCTTACATAATCAAGTCTAAAGTTTAATCTATAATACTCTGCAAAATTTCAAAATGGTATTTGACAAAGCACAAGCAATTGTTACTATAATATAAAAATACTAAATTCCAATAAATGTAAAGGGGTGCCAGGTCCTTAGAGGTGATCACTTATGTCTAAAAAGTTAGTTGTTCGTTTCAAAATATATAATAATTTTGTAGTTCACGGTTTGATTCCCTTTTTAACTTGTAAGACATTTTTATTAATTAAACAATACATGTATATTTTAATTGATTGTTTTTGATAAGCTTAAAGTTAAAAACCTTACTTTGCGTAATGATGTTAATATTCCCCTTAAAGGAGATCAATTGATGGATGACCTCCCGTTTTTGCTGACGTATAACCGTTACGATCGTAATTACATGTACAGTGACCTGCAAAAATAACGCACCACTTACATTGCTAATCGTTAATCACCTGATTCTCACTCGCATGCATCTCCGTTTTTTCGTAATACAAGGCAAACTCGTTAAGACGAAGCCACGCTAAGCCGAAATTGCATTAAGCCGAAGTTTTTCTGGTTTACCAAATTTTTTATTATATATAAATTCGGCTTTGTGCGAAATTTAGTAAAACGAAAATCTCGATAAGCCGAATAAATTGTCTCTGCCCCCGGCCTTCGTCTTATCGAGTTTGCCTTGTACCTCTAAATCCTCTAAATCGGTGATCCGTTTTTTTGACATTTTTGATACGGATAAAAAGAGCTAAGGAAAACTTTTTTATTATAAAAATAAAAAACCATGATAACAAAAAAAATCGCCAAGACTTACTTCATATAATTTGTATACTTTTCTAAGAAAATGGCTCAACTCACATTAGAAAAACACACTCAGGCAATTGTATTGCTTGATGAAGATTATAGTGTCCACATTGCTTCAATATTCATCATTCTACCATACTAAGACTTAAAAAAGCCAAGAAAACTAATAGTATCCAAAATAAGTCTTGAACTGATCATTTCCAAAAATTTATTATATGTGATAAAATGATCTCTTGTTTGTTAAATTATGATGAATAAATATTCCAATATCATCCAACTTCAAAATCTCTATAAACTAATGAAGAAATTGATATAAATATAAGTTTAATATATAGAGAATTGCATATTAATAATTTGATATATAGATAAAGTTATATCTATTAGATATACATCATCAAAAATATACAAATAAATATAAGAACTAGAAACTTGATAGTTAATATAAAATTATATAGTTTAATGAGTCAAAATTTTAGTTATTTAGATTTAATAAATATTAATATTATTAAAAAAGATCAAATAATTTATTAAAAAGCTTGCATATTCAATTTATAATAAAGTTTAATAATGATAATATAATAATATAGCATGTTTTATATTTAAAATACTTGTTATCTTTATAAAATTATTGAAATAAGAATAGTAAATATTACTAATAAATTCTTCAAATAAATTATTTTCTCTTTAAATTTATATAATTTAAAGTTAAATAATATTATTTTTCAATAAAATAATAAAGTAATTCACTAATAATTATATAAGTATATTATATAATTATTATAATTATTCAATCTAAATTCTATTAAAAATCTTTTATAGAAAGTGAATTTTTATCTTCATGAATTTTTAAATATAATTATTAATAAGAATAATTTATAAAAAATATAAAAAAATATAAGATAATATTAAAATTAGTTCTTGTATTAATTTAATTAATATAATATTATTATAAATTAATAATATAATTAAAATATAAAATAATTATATAAAATAATAAAAATAATATTTTATAAAAAATAATTTTATTTAAGAAATAATAAAATTATTATTATATAATTATTATTTATAATTAAATATAATAATATTATATTATTTTTCAATATTAATTATTATTTATTTTATTATTTATATATTTTATATAATTAAATATTAATAATATAAATAATTATTATTTTTATATATTATTATATATATAATAAAATAGAATTTTATTTAGTTTTTAATTATATAAATATTATAATTTAATAAAAAATAAAATAAAAAATATGAAAAATATAGAAAATAAATATTAAAAATTAACTTGAAATTTTAATAAAAAATATTAAAAAGATAAGTTTATATATAAGATTATTTATTTATTTTTATAAATAAATATAATAAAATATAATTAAATAATTTAATTTATAAATACTTAGAATTTTATTTTTTAAATAATATTTAAATTTAATATTAAAATATAAAATAAAGTAATATATTTATATAAGTTAAAATAAGTATAAAATATAAATAATTTAATAATTTAAAATATATATAAATTTTATATAATTAATAGAATTAATTATTTAAATTATATTTTAAAGAATAATATTATATATAATTTAAGAAATTAGTAATAATAAATAATAATTAAAAAAATAAATAAAAATAATAAGAAAATATTTAAAAAAATATTAATAATTAAATTAATAATTATTAATATAATAATATATTATTATTATAGTAATATAAACTTTCTTAATTTCATAATCTTTTCTTGATTATAAGAAATCATATTTTTTTATAATTTTATATTTCTCTTATAAATATTTCTATTTCTATATTATATATTTATTTTATTACTATATTTATTATTATATTTCTATTTTTAAATATTATATTTTATATTTATTTAAGATCTATATTTTTGAATTACTTATAATATAATATTTATATATATAGTAGAATAGTATAATAAAAAATCATTTTTAATTTTGATGAAATAGTTATATTTGAAATATTAATCACAAATATTTTTCTATATCTTTTAATATCTTTCTATATCTTTAATATTCTTTTATATCTTTCAATATCTTTTTATATCTTTCAATATTCTTTCATATCTTTTAATATTTTTTTATATTCTTTAATATTTTTTAATATTCTTTAATATTCTTTAATATTCTTTAATATCTTTTGATATTCTTTAACATATATATTTCTAAATATTAATATTTAAACTATAATACTTTAATTATAATAAATAGTATTAATTAGTAATATTATAATAATTTATATATTCAAAAATATATAAAAAAACCTGCTATCCCAGCTTGAAATAAATAGTTTTGAATTGAATTATTTAAAAAATATAATTAAAAAGCTTATTATTTTAATAATAATAATCTTTTATAAGATTTTTTTCTAATTATACTAGTATTCTTTCTCTTACTTGGTTTTATTTCTTTGATCATACAAAGTTAATTTTGATTTTTGAATTATAATATTATATTAATTTTTTATTTTTGATATTATTTTGAGAATAGAAAATCTTTACTATAAATAAGTCATATTTTTTATTTTATTTATTTTATTTTATTTTTGAGAATAGAAAATCTCTATTATAAATAAGTTATATACTTTTTATTTAGTTATTTAGTTTTTGTATCTTAGTTTTTAGTTATAATCTTTTTTGATTAATAGTAATTTTACTATTTAATCATTTCAAATCTTGAATTATATCAATTACTAGTGACTTTACTAAGCTAATCTTTATAATTTTTTTGATTTATTTTATTCTTTCTTTATTTATTTTATTCTTTATTAAGATAATATCTATAGATATTAGTACAAATCTTAGAAATCTTTGCCATTATTAAAAGTTATAATCTAATTTCTCTCTTTTCATTCTTTAATTATTTCAGTCTCTCCTAGCTCTATATTATTAAAATAAATTCAAGTAAAAACTTACTTATCAATTCATCATAATAATATAATTAATTTAATTAATTTAATATATAATAATTATTTATATATTTAATATAAAATTAATCTTTAAGAAAATATAAAAGTTATAAAATAAAAATATAAAATAAAAAAATATAATTTAATCAAAATTTATTATAATTTATTTATTATAAATTACTAATTATAACATATTTAATTATTAAATATACATATATATAATTATTAATATTTAATAAATATTTTATATAATATTAAGCATCTTATAATTCTAGTAATAGAATTTAATTAGATATTCTTAATAATAAATAAATAAGAATTTATATTATTATAATAATTTTAATTAAATTATATTTATTTTAATTTAAATCTTTATTTTATATTATTTATATTATATTTATTAGTTTATATTGCTTTTTATAAAGATTAATTTTATTTTGAATATAAAATAATTTATATATTAATTTAATTAAATTAATTATATATTATTATATAAATAATTACTATATATTTTAATATTATTAATTTAAATTATTCTTATTTTTTTATTAGTTTCTTTTAATTATTTCTTATATTTTTTAATTATTCTTATTAATTATTATTTATATTATTATTTATTAATTATATATTATTAAATTAAATATAATT